TCAAGAAAGGGGGGAAAAAAACTTTGTTTACTACTTATACATCTAATCAAACTAACATCTTACTAATTCGGAGTAATGATCAGATATACGAGATCGTTTCACTCAAACAAAACTCCTAACATGAAAAGCAAGCAAGTCATGTTACACTTTGCATCCATACCAAACTATATAGAAACACATGCATGTAAGTTATGCAATGAAATCTGGTTTGGTTTTCAGGATTGGAGTGCCGACTTGTTCTTCTTTTCTCATGTGTTAATGGAAGGCAACCGTGATAAAGCTGCCGCCATGTCTCTTTATTAATTCCTCATCTTCGTTCTCCGAAGATCAATACGAGCTTTTTCAATTCGTTTTCAATATTATTATATTGTGTTGGGTGGGGAAAGAATTCTTTGGTTAGCCGGACACGGAACCTGCATTTTTTCTCCCGCCCCATTTAAGTCCGGCAAGGCAACCCGATAATCGGGGAAAAAGCAGGCATCGAGTTCAGCACCCAACCAGAAAGCACATTTCAGAACCCCGGCCACAAAGGAAATTCCCTTTTTTTTTTTTCAATAAATCAAACCCACAAATCCAAGTTATTGAAATTAATGATGGGTTGAACCAAAATCCGAAACAATGAAGCTATATACAGCCTAGCTAGCACGTATCCACATGGCCACACAAAAACGAAGATTTTGGGCTGCAATTAACGATAAGATTTCTACCCAAATCCAACAATGATTTAGTAGCAGCAAGGAATCTCAACGCTAACCTACCTATTATATATTAAGTATCATTATCTCTAGCTTCTTTCTTCTCCCTCTTTAGGTAACATCAGCCTAATATTCTTATACCCTTTGAATAACCCAATAATTATATCGCCGCGAGCTGACATTTTTATCAGGACACAAAAGTTCCTACACTATTGCGATCAGAATACCCAACAAACTCATCCGAATAAGAATCAGGACAGGACTGAATTAAGATTCAGCAGAAGTGGTATTTCAGTGTTTGGTTAAGAATTGCAACAATGCAAATTCAGATTAATACACTAAGCACGTACGTCGGCTAGCTATCTAGCTAAGCTAAAAGAGTTGATTTTAAACAAGAGAAAGAAAGGAAGAAAAACCTGCTGCGGTGAACAATTAGGCGCCCGCCTTGCTACAAATTTGAGTTTAAATCTTTTTTTTTCCTACCTTGGGGGTGGGAAGAATTGCGTACCGGCTATAAACGCATTGAGAGGAGCCGGGTATAGAGAATCCGGGTCAATCATCGACCCGGAAGCCGCAGGGTTCCCTCCTTGATCACCGCCACCACCGCTCGCCGCCCCCGCCGCACCTCCGCTTGTCCCCGCCGTTATCAGATGCAATGGCTGCCCTCCTCCTCCTCCGCCGCCCGAGGAGCTCTCTCCACCGTAACGAGATTGATGATGGTGATGCTGATCAGGGCCTTGATCGTAGAGAATTCCCTTGAACACGTGTCCCCCTATGTTCACAGCCGTCTGATACGCCGTCTGTTCTTCCGCGTCGTCGATCGAGCTCACCTTCACGCACCGGAACACCGCCGACGAGTTCACCTCGCTCGGGAAATGCCCTCCCACTTCCAACCCTAAACCATAAACCCAAAATTTCATGTCAATTTTTTTTCCATAAATTTCTTTTTGTGTCTATTACTCGTCACTCTTACTAACAAACAGTATACAGACCATTCAGTTATGTTTAGTCAACTCATCCGTCACTCAATTAGTCAACCTCTTTACAACCAGAAACAAATTTACGGACTGCGATGGAGAAATCTTTAATTACTATGACATTTACCTGAACCGGTGGCAGCAGCAGATGCGGTCGCTAAGCGCGACGAGCTGCTGCCGACTACTCCATGGTGGCTGCTCTCTCGGAGCCGTTTCGTGACCTCGCCGCGAAACGGAACCTGCAATGGCTGGGCCGGATCCTGCTGCTGCAGCGCGGCCGCGAGCTGCTGCTGGCGCTCGCGGCGCTTGGCAGCAGGGACCCACGTCGATTTGACGTGGGTGGAGCACTGGAACCCTCGGCTCTTGCAGCAGGTTCGGCACCTCATGTGCGTGCAATCTTTTTTGGCTTGGTTGCCACAATCCTGACAGTTAATCCCGCCCGATCCACCACTTCCTCCTCCGGACCTCATCATGATCCCTCCGCCGCCGCCGCCTGATCTCGAAGAATCATCAGAGCTCCGGCTCGTCCCGGCCGGTCCGAACGACGCCGCTGCGTAGATGTTGGCCTGGTGCTGCTGCTGTTGCTGGTAGTACTGCGGCCATATCTCGAACCCGAACCCTCTGTGTCCTCCCCCACCGCCTGCCGTGGTTGCGTTTGCGCCGCTGTTGTTGTTGTTGTTGTTGTTGTGGATCTCTTCGTCTCGAAACAGAAACAAGCTGTTGTCCTCCCTATCCTCCTCTCTCTTACTACTTGCCGCCGCTGCTGATGAAATAGCTGCGTCTCTTCCGCTCAGATAGAACCACCCAGCCATTTCTTGCCTGAATCCAACCCCAATTTTCTTCCCAAATCCATAGCAGAAAGAAACGGCGCCGTTTCGGGGACGGAATTCAGCTCGTTTTCCCTCTCTAAACTAGCTCAATTTCGGCAGCCTAACATCCTAATCTCTCCCCTTCCCCGGGAAAAGAGAAAACCTAACTCAGCTGGCTCTACTCAACCTCAAGAATTTCAGGTTGGTAGGGCAGATAGAGAGAAGCAGGGAAAGAGAGAGAGAGTTGCGGAACTAACAGTTGAAGTAGTAGTAGATAGAAAGGAAGGAAGAGAAAAGAAGAAGAAAGGAGAAATTGAATTTTGTTTGTTTTTTGTATTTCGGTGTGTGTGTTTGTGAATTGTGGTAGCAGCAGGCGGCAATAATGGCACGGAATTAGAGCTCTGCAAACGCCGCCATGGAAACTGCAACTCTTTCCTGCTTCCCGCGCGGCTCTACTGCTGCTGCTGCTTCCTCATGCTGTCGATCTGCATTTAATAAATGGCCACCACCAAACCTACTTTTCTCATCAATTCTTTCTTTCGTCTCCTCTCCCCGAGACAGAGAGAGCGAAAGCCAGAGAGAGAGAGAGAGGGAATAGCAAAGGAGAAATAAGGAATGAAAGAGAAAAGGAGAGGAGAGGAAAGGAGAGGAGGAAGACAAGGAAATCTATCTCTGGGCACTTCTCTACAGTTTTCTTCCAGTCTCGATGCATTTTCCTTTCTCTCTCTCCTTCTCATTTATCGAACGGCGATGGGGCGTGATCGGACGGTGGGACGGGCGTACACGTGGCGAGGCGCCAGCTTTTCCTTATTCGTCCTTTGCACCGGAAAACCCGCTCAGTACTTTTCTGACCCCTCTCCTTTACTGTAATTTAAGATTGCTTCGCTCTAGAAAATTGGAAGAAAATTGTTTTTTTTTTTAAATTATTACTTAATCATAAATGCAACGCGTGATTTGGATCGGACGGCCGAGAGGATGTCTGTGATGTAACGCGAGGAGACCGCTGGTCGGGAGCATAGTTAGTAAATACTCCGTTTAATACACGTATATGTACCCATACGTACTTTATCCGTTTAAAACTTCCGTATTCGTATTATTGTCAAGCCGTTTCATTAGTTTCCGTTCATTTGACGGCTCCCGTACTAAACACGTATAAAACCCGTATAACACGTTTAATATCCGTATTTAATAAAATAAATTAATAACTTTACTATTTTTTACATGTTTATTTATTTATAAAAATAATTAATTTTATATATTTATGACTATTAACGTACTATTAAATGTAACATTAGCTAAGAGACGAAGTATAATACCCGTACATATTTTATACGTAACTTTCCCGTACCGTATTTTACTAACTATGGTCGGGAGATGATTTTCCGTAATTAAGAGATGTATTTAGAATTGGGGAAATTCTTTGGGCAATCATTTTTTGGATTGACTGACTGTGAGAAAGAGTGGCCACAGAAATAATGTAATTTTATATAATTCTTTTACAACTTGCTTGGCTGCATGGATTTTATTAATTTTATAAATTACGAATGGAATAATAAATTAAATAATTCGAGGGAAGTTCACTGCTAACAAGTCAACACGTTTTTTTGTTTTTAAGGTATTGTGTCGAGAGAAAAATGAGCCCCCGCCGTTTCCAGTCATAGAAATTGCGGTGGTTTAATTATTTTTTCATTATTATTAGTTATTTTTCAGCCGTAAGCCTTGGGCTGGTGAGCAGGGAATCAACTAATCAAATTTAGTGTGTGATTACACTCTAAACACGTACATTAGCAGGCTTGTTCGCAAATCACCACCTTTCTTAAATCAATTAATCAAACTTTTCAAGTGCATTATTACGATGAGAGGGATAGTTTGCGGTACATAGTGTATTATTCAACATCTTAGTACAAGTCTAAACCCGTCGACCGGTATTCAATACCATAATTGACTAATTATAGACGACATTACGTGAGGAATCATATAATCTTTAGATATCAATATTGAGTGCTCAGGGACCGGGTTGTAAGGTTAATTATGTACTTGCTACACGCGATTTTTGAGGAGGTACATAAATTCATTTATCTGTGTTAATGGTATCCCAAACAGGATGATAAGACTATAATATGTAATATGTTTTTGTTGTTCCTAATGTTTTCTATTCGTATGTCTTTGTCGATACTAGCTTATGGAACATATTCTAATTATTCTCTACTTAAGGGTTCACAAGTTTGTTGTGTGTCCTTACTCGATTTTTATTCTTAAATCTATGGATTCAACATTGTCTTGTACATAAAATCGAACCATTTTACTATAATACATGGTCACGCAAAAATATCATGTAAACATAGTTGTCAAATGATTGGCTCAGTAATACCCTAGAAATGCTCACAGTAGATCAAATTAATAGTCAAATCGTACTTCAACCAGTTCATCACTAGTATTTTCAGTAGCCATATTTTCCCTCAAGCTTATACTTTTTTTTCTTCTTCCAATTCTAATTTAATTGCTTGAACAAGGAACACATGATATATATCATCACCGGAACCACGACGCCGGCGCCTGTCCTTTTGCCTTCGAATCGGCCGCCAGACCCACCTCGACACTTGGCGATAGCCGCTCCAGATTCTACACCAGTCAACGTGGTTTCGGCCACGTCCTCCTCTAACATGATTATTGATTCTGATTCTATGTCTTTGTCTCCGCAGGGCACAGCTAACGGGAAGACGCAGGATCGATCGGACCAAGAGGCAACCGGGGCTCGCCAACAACGATTTTCCTATGCGGCAGCGGTCACGGGAGAGATGCCTACAATCCCTCTTCAGAATCAAGCGCGCCTATGGACGCCGGTGGGGGAACATGATTTGGTGCCCGGAAAATATAATGGCGAACCGGCCCTGACGATTTCAGCGGACTTCAAGTCCAAGTTTTGTGCACCGTGGCAAAGAGCACTGGTTGTTCGTCTTCTAGGGTTGCGGATCGGATTTACCAACCTATGTAATCGACTCAAAGGGCTGTGGCGGCCGCAGGGGAACATGGAAGTGAAGGACCTTGATCACGATTGCTTCCTAGTTAATTAGGACAATGAACAGGACTATTACCGCGCCCTCACAGATGGCCCTTGGGTTATCTACGATCACTACCTGGTGGTTCAACAATGGTCCCCCCGGTTCAAGGCATCGGACCCGCTTCCGAAGAAGATGATAGTCTGGGTGCAACTTCCTGCTCTGAAAATTCATTTCTATCATAGAGAGATCCTGACCAGCCTGGGGAACCTTATTGGAAGAACAATCAAGCTTGACTACCACACCCTCACCCACCAACGTGCAAAATTCGCTCGACTAGCGGTCGAGGTCGACTTGACAAAACACCTGGTGCCCCGGATTTGGTTGGACGATGAATGGCAGAAAGTGGAATACGAGAATCTACTAGAGGTGTGCTTCAAATGCGGGAAGATCGGGCATGACCGGAGTCTTTGCCCGGATAATCAACCAGCGCCTATATTGGCCTTGCCGGCAATTGGAGAGTCTCTTTCCAACTTGACGATCTCATCGGAGTCGGCTTCAGCAACGTCGCTGGCGGACAGCAATCCGGGTTTTGGGCCATGGATGCTGGTGACTAGGAAAAGCCGGCGAAATTCCAGGGAAGCTCCTAGAAAAGGAAAGTTAGAGAGTGATACAGGGAAATCTAATAAGGAAGGTCTACCCCAGAGTGGGAAAGGAGGAACGACTATAAAAGACCCTCCCCAAGACTTGCCTTTACAGAAAAAGCTCAACGGTCCCTTACCATCGTCGGCAACCTCTCCTGAGAAGAAATCCCCAAATGGTAAGAAAGAAAACTCGGAGACGAAACGTGGCAAAGAAAAGGCAGGAACGGATGCTTCCGGGAAAGGAAAGGGAGTCCTTGGGCCGGGGCCCAGTTTTCGGAAAACCACCAACTCCTCAGGGCCGTCCAGCTCCTTCAATGGGGCTTCCTCTTCATCTATCGAGGCGGGCTTTCAGCCCACTTCGTCCCCAGGGCCAGAACCAACCGGTCTTGGATCGGCAGACTTTGTGAAGGTGACGGCCATTCTTCCCCCACCACCCATTGTTCGTACAGTGACCGGTGAGAACGACACCGTTTTGAAGATTATTGAGACCCCCCAGAAGCCGAACAGCAATAGCAATGCCTCGAACAATCCCTCGCCGTCGGTGGCGACCAGAACCAAACGAAACAAGAGCAAGAAGTCGCCAGCAAAATTTAATCACGCGAAGCTGCTGCAAATCTGGTCCCCCATGAAGGAAAGGAAGCCTAAATCTAAGGCCAGAATTGCTTCGCTCACCATGCAGGAAATAAATGCGTGGACGGCAGCCGCGAAAGAAGTCACTGGAAACTCAGGGGAGAAGGTGGTAGTCGTTACAGGCGACACCAACGTGCCCACAGATTGTGGAAGCAACGAATCCCAGACTCTGACCTGATGCTAGCTCGATTTTGGATCCCTAGTCGTACCCTTCTGGTTTGCTATGTCAATAATGTCTCTGTTAAAAATACTTTCGTGGAATGTTGGTGGCGCAGGTAGTAGAGCTTTTGCCCGCGCTCTGAAAATGACTATCAAGGATCATAGGCCGGACTTTGTAGTGTTGCTCGAACCCCAAATCAGCGGCGATTCAGCAAATGTAGTCTGTGACAAGTTGGGGTTCCCCAACTCGATGCGCGTGGAAGCAGAAGGGAGGAAGGGCGGTGTTTGGGTTTTCTGGGATGCAGGGGTTTTCACTACGCATCTCGTCTCCGCTTGTAATCAGCACATCTCCCTGCGGGTTTCTCAGACCAATGGGCCGCAGTGGATTTTGACTGCAGTTTACGCTTCTCTCCGGCCTAGTGAGCAGAAATTTCTTTGGAACAGCTTGATTGCCCAGAGTAAGTGCATCGACATCCCGTGGCTGATCACCGGGGATTTCAATGCCATTAGCTCACCGGACGAGAGGTATGGGCCACCGGTAAGGAATACTCTGAGACGGTGTGAGGTTTTCAATGAATGGATGAATCTTGCAGAGCTCGTTGACCTCGGGTACTCGGGTCCAAAGTTTACTTGGACGAGAGGCGATTGTCAGCAAACCTTCAAGGCCAGCCGTCTCGATCGGAGCATCTGTAACCTGAGGTGGAACACAGATTTCCCAAACACCTCTGTTCTGCACCTTCCCCAACTCCAATCGGATCACAACCCGATACTCACGTCGGTGGTGCTGAATCAAGGGTCGCAACCTAGTCCTCGCCATTTCAAGTTCGAGGTGGCTTGGTTTACTAATGAGAGCTTACAGAATGTGGTGGCAGAGTCATGGGAGTCTCTTGCCCCTTGGCAGGATGCCCTCTCCAAGCTTTCCAGTAAATTAGCCGAGTGGAATGTAAACACTTTTGGAAATATCAAGCTTAAGAAGAAGAGGCTAGTGGCTCGTCTGAAGGGAATCGAGGGACGACTAGCTTCAGGTTTTGCCCCAGGCTTGGCCAAACTTCACACTAAGCTAGAGGCTGAGCTGGATAAGGTCATGGAGCAGGAGGAGCTTATTTGGTTCCAACGGTGCAGAGATAAATGGGTCAAATTCGGGGAGCGGAACACGGCTTATTTTCACCAGCAAGTGAACATCAGGAGACGTTTTAACAAGATTGAGGCCCTGCAGGATGACAATGGGAATTGGGTGACAAACTCTCAAGCTCTGGCTTCTCTTGTTTTTTATTTTTTTACTAACACGTACTTGCAGGATGACTCCCCTTATGAAGACAGGCTCCCCAAGAATGCTTTTCCTCGATTATCCCAAGCTGAAGCGGCGGCTATGTTCCGACCTTTCAACATCATGGACATCCACAAAGCCATCTTTGATATGAAACCGTTCCAGGCGCCCGGGCCAGACGGATTTCATGCGTCTTTCTTCCAGCATTTTTGGAGTGTGGTGGGGAAATCCCTTTCAGATATGGCCATCTCTTTCTTTTTGACAGGTTCCCTTCCAGAGGCAGTCACGGAGTCCACTCTGGTTCTAATCCCCAAAGTGGAAGCCCCTGAGAGAGTGAACCAGCTCAGGCCAATATCTCTCAATAATGTTTGCCTCAAGAGTATTACAAAGGCCATGACCTGCAGACTGAAGCCGCTTATGAAGAAGCTGATGTCTCCCAGACAGAGCAGTTTCATTCCAGGTCGTCAGACTACTGACAACATTATTGTCGTTCAGGAAGTTCTCCACTCTCTCCGGAGAAGAAGGGGCAAGAAGGGGGGTCTTGTTTTCAAAATTGACCTCGAAAAGGCGTATGACATGCTCAGATGGGATTTCCTTAGGGATACGCTTAAGGAGGTTGGGCTGCCGAGCACCTGGATTAGCTCCATCATGTACTGTGTGGAGCATAACAGGATGAGGATCAGATGGAATGGCGAACTATCTCAGGCCTTCACCCCGTCGCGTGGAGTGAGACAGAGAGACCCCCTCTCGCCTTATCTTTTTGTTTTATGCATGGAGCGATTATCTCACAGAATTGATCAGGCGGTTTCCGAAGGAAAGTGTAAGCCTGTTAAGCTCACTAGTACCGGGCCGCCTCTGACACATCTTTTCTTTGCAGATGATCTCCTTCTGTTTGCAGAGGTAGAGAAGCGACAAATCCAGGTGGTGAAAGAGTGTCTTGCTGACTTCTGCTATAGTTCGGGCCAGAGGGTGAACTACAATAAATCTATCCTCTTCGTGTCCCCGAACATAGCCAGGTGGAAAGCAGAACAGTTGAGTGCGCAGGCAGGAATACCTCTGAAGGCGGCGTTGGGAAGATATCTCGGGATACAGGCTATTCAGGAATGAGTGAACAAAGGGAGATACCAGCCCTTACTGCTTCGAATTCAGAAAAAGATGGAGCCTTGGAAAGCCAAACGACTTTCCTTTGCGGCTCGTCTCACCGTGGCTAAATCTGTTACTGCATCCTTGCCTGTTTACACAATGAATACTGAACTAATCCCAAGCGGTGTTTGCAGGAGCATCGACAAGATCACCAGAGACTTCATTTGGGGGGACGAGGAAGATCGGTCCAGGATGCATCTTGTGGCATGGGATAAGTTGACGATGGCAAAGGGGCAAGGAGGCATCGGTCTCAGGCCAACGCGGCAGGCTAATCTGGCCATGCTGGCCAAGAGCGGTTGGCGGTTGATCCAAGAAAAAGAGAATCTGTGGTCTCAACTCTTGATTTCTAAATACGGAGGTCGGCGACAGGGTCTGGAGATCATCCAGAAATCTCAGGGAAGTTCCTTCACTTGGAGCAGCTTCTTGAAAGCTGCCGGCTTGCTCAGACAAGGCTGTTCGTGGAATATTAAGAATGGGAAAGGTACTAAGTTTTGGTTGGATCCGTGGGTTTTGCAGGTTCCACTAAAAGAGAAGGTGATTGGTGTCATCCCGGAGGAGTTGGAGTCGGCGGAAGTAGCTTATCTTGTTCGAGATGATGGCAGCTGGTGCATTGAGTCTTTCCAGGACCTTCTTCCGCTTGAGGTCTGTGAAAAGATTTTGAGCACAGCAGTCTACAAGCTATCGAGAGAGGAAGACAAGCTGTTCTGGTCAGCGACGGCGGATGGGCGATTCTCCTGCAAGTCAGCCTATGACCTCATCACTGGTCAAAGTCAGCAGACTAGTGATAATATTTGGGAAACCATCTGGAGGCTACCGGTTCCGGAGCGAGTTAGAAGTTTTGTTTGGTTGGTCATGCAGGGGAGGATAGCCACCAACTCACTGAGGTTCAATAGGAAGATTGCTCCCTCTTCGTCCTGCTTGCAGTGTCCTGATAGGCTGGAGACCATAATCCACATTCTGAGGGATTGCGGCCGAGCTCTCTACTTCTGGTCAAGACAGGTGCCGCAGCAATATCAAGCGGATTTTTTTGGCAGGGATCAAGACTCTTGGCTTCGGGACAATCTTAACAGTGATAGGGAGTCCCTCTCAGGTATTAACTGGCCGGCTTTCTTCAGCATGGCCATCTGGCTCCTTTGGAAGAACCGCTCGACAGCGGCCTTTAAGGGAGTCGGGGCGGCTCTGTCAGCTCCCTCTCTGCTTCACTCCATTACAGCCAAGTGCAAGCTGTGAAACGAGTCTTGGCATGCCCCGGTCCCTTTTCGAGTTCGAAGAGACAGCAGGTGGTGCGCGTAAGTGCGGAAATCGGATGAAGCTACCCTCCTTCTGGTTGGGTTCAGGTTAACACTGACGGGGCCTCAAATGGCAATCCGGGGCCGGCTGGGGCTGGAGGACTCATCCGTGATCACCAGGGGCGCTGGATGGGAGGGTTCATGGCAAATATTGGTACGGCAACAGCAGGGCTAGCTGAGCTTTGGGGTATTTATTATGGGTTAGAGATCGCTTGGAAGCTTGGGTTCCGAGCGGTCAGGATTGCTTCGGACTCTTAGTTAGCGATTCAATTAATTCAGAATCGGATTGAGCCTATTCACCCGTATGCTACTCTGCTGGGGCTTATTCGCAGGAAGATGAGTCTGGATTGGTTGGTCTACCTGTCTCACACATACCGGGAAGCTAATAGAGTCGCGGACTGGCTCTCGAAGCACAGTCTCGTCTATCCCTATGGTATGCATGAGTTGGCAGATCCACCGTTAGGCATCGGCCAGATCCTTCAGGAAGACATTAGGGGCATTACTTTTGAGCGCCGAGTTGTGGCGAACTCCTCTTTCTCTTCATAACCTCCGTGTACTCGCTTCTTCTTCTTGGCTTTTAGCCTCCTTGCAATGCATATATATATATATATATATATAGGTCATATTGGCGTACGTCAGGCGTATACTATACGTCAGGTACTACTAGTGAGATATCTCTATGTTGACCATGAATTAAATTGAGTTTGGGGCATGATACTATACCCTAACCTCTAATGGATAAACCCCAGACACCGATTTCTAAACCCCAACCCGAAGTTTGATTTAATGAAAAATAAAAATTGACCGTTGAGATCGGCCGAAGCTCATCTAAGTACATCTATCACCTGCTGTATACTATACGCATGACGTACACCCGTCTTTACCATATATATATATATATATATATATATATATATATATATATATATCATCACTATTATCCAAGTACATTAAAAGATTAAGGCGAAGAGCAACAAAAAAGAGAGAGAGAGAGAGAGAACAGTGGCATTCCCTCTTTTTTTCAT